TTTATGATTTTTTTTTTGTGTGGTGGGGGGGGGGAGGGTGGGGTGTCAGGAAAGCATGTGATACTGGTTAATCGCTAGGTATCTTTTGAAAACCTGTATGAAACAATTTGGAAGAAAACCAGCACAGTCAAAGCACAAAAACAGGAACGAGGAACTGAGTTTTAATATCACCGGTGGCCCCTTCTCACTGTTAGTCTTGGACAGATCACATCACTTACCCGTTTGTGTTTCAGTCTGTTAAAATATGGCTAATACTTATATGATCTTCCCCATAAGGGTGCTCCTGTGAGGGCTAATTAGCTGGTGTTAGTAAAGAGCCAATTTAAGTCATAAATGTTTTTGTACATCTTACAATATTTAGTCAATTTTTCTGAGCTGTATCTCAACCAGGTATATTTTGTTATGGCTGAGGTTTTAACTTTGCCTCTTAAACTGCAGCCAGCTCCATGGTGACACTGTAGTCATGCACACAAAGTATAAGCACTCTGTCACTGAGTCACAACTCAATTTGACAAAATGTGGACGGTATAGATTAAAAAGTCTATTAGCACTTACACACTGCTCTTAAAGATCTCTCAAAGGCTTTGCATGACTGAGCTCATAAAATTTGTACGTTTCCTAGGTATCTGTAGATACTTTACACAGCAGAAATTGTGCACCATATTTGCCGTGAGTAAACTTCAGTGTATTTCCTTCCTTCCTTCCTTCCTTCCTTCCTTCCTTCCTTCCTTCCTTCCTTCCTTCCTTCCTTCCTTCCTTCCTTCCTTCCTTCCTTCCTTCCTTCCTTCCTTCCTGCCTTCCTTCCTGCCTTCCCGCCTTCCCGCCTTCCCGCCTGCCTTCCTGCCTGCCTTCCTGCCTTCCTCCCTCCCTCCCATTCCCCCACTTCCTTTCTTCTTTCCACTGTGGAAATGCAAGTGTATTTTCTCTGGCTGTTCAAGAACGTTATAAGTTTTCTGTCACCTATGCATTTCCCATTCCATCCCAAAAAAAGGAACCGTTCAAGAAAAAGAGTCGAGTCAGGTTCTGAATTGTGAGGTAGCTGCCATGGGAGGTCAGTGCCTCTGTTGGTCCAGTCCAGTCCAGCTAATAGGAAGTGGGGCTGCAGTGATCCACTTGAGTTCTGGTCTTCTCAGTTAACACAGTTTAGGATCTAGCATCGCTAATTATATGGGGTAGCAATGTGCCCAAGCAACAAGACAAAGAGCTGTGTGGGTATCTGGAAGGCTCAGAAACATAACGATTCAAGGCCTGACCTGTTCCAAAGATAGGAAGCATTTACAAGACCAGAGATTTAGTTCCAAAAATTTCTCATTCAATGCTTATGGTATTTTAAAATCAAAGTGCTTGGCTTGGACCAGTCTTTCACAGGGTTGTTAGGCATGTCAGTTGCCATCAGAAAACAGTACATCTTTTA